GGAACTCCCTAGGGGACAGGAAACGTGTGAGGTGTGTGTGTGTGTGTGTGTGTGTGTGTCTGTGCCGACACTGATAGGAAATTCGGAGCGCAGCGGCCAGGAGAAGGGAGGTTGGAGAGGAGGAGGAGGAGGTGGAGGAAAAGGAGGAAGAGGAGGAGGGGAGGAGGAACGAGGGAGTGGGTCGCGCGCGCTGCGGGTTCAAAACGAGGCCACAACTCCACACTTTGAAACAAGTCCGGAGACCCTTTTCCCAAGGACTCCTTTCCACCGTCGACGACAGAGAGGCGAGAGATAAGTACGAAGCAGAGGGGAAATGCAGGCATCGCCGCACAGAAATTCTGACCCTTAAAGGACTTGCCCTGCCACGGCCAGCCCGCCAACAAAAAAATGCCAGCTCAAAACCTCTGGCGACAGATCGGGGACGCACTAACCCGGGTCAGCGCTAGCCCGGGTCAGCCAGGACCCTCTCGCGAGCCCCAACCGGCCGCTCAATATCTTCTAAACCCGGGTCAACAAACGGCGAAAAGGGGGGATCGGCTCCACGTGGCTCCGAAACCCAGGTCGGCCAAATGGGATTGGCTGACCCTCGTTAGCGCTGACCCCCGCTACGCCCGCCCCGAACAAAGATGCGTAGGATCTGCGCAATGACAAACAGAAACGACCAGGTCGTAACGACGTGGTCACGGTGACGCATGCGGCGGCGTTCGTCACGATTCGAGGGACAGGTAAGAGGAGATACGATATGGGAGGGGGTTTGATGAAGACAGTGGCGGCACTCCAATGCGAGGAGGGCGAAGAGGGGAGGAAAGACTAGGAGGGAGGAAGAGGAGGGCCGCCGATATCTCAACTGCCTCCTCCCTGATCATGGGGTGGAGGCTGAAGAAAAGAGGAAGGCGCAACGGACAATGTGCTGATGTGGACAAGGTGTGCGTAGGGTTGTCTGCGGATGGTGATGGGCGCGAACAAAACAACAAACAACCTGAACAAACATGACTTTCGGAAGTCCGCGAGGGATTCCCCAGGTCGGCGCAGGGCTCCCATCCCGCTGGGGCGCGAGGCGTGTCGCCTATGCGGGCGGTGCCCGGCGTCGACACGAAGAGATTTGCAGGGGCCCGCGAAATCAGCATTTCGTCCGACATCTGCGCCTGCGCTGCTGCCTGGTCGGCTTCGCCGCCGCAGCGGCCGTACCCTCGTCGCGCCACGCGCCTTGTCGCGGTCCGCCCCATCGGAAGGAGCATGCCGGGAGCCGGTGCCCCTGCCTCATGACCCCTGCCGACACACACACACACACACACACAACAGGCGGACACGACCACTCCCTGCCGAAACTCACCAAACGGTTGCGAGCACGCGGCCGCAGTGCAATCGGGCCTCGGCAGCGGCCGGTGCGCAGCCAGGCGCCAACACGGGCGCGGCAGAGGCGCTAGCAGGAACAGGCCCCCGATGCGCAGAGCACGGGGCACCGAGGCCCGACTCCGAGGCAGGGGGCCTGCGGGCGCGGCCGGGCACCCAGGGGCACAGAGGGAGGCGACGAGGACCGGGCGCAGCCCGCGGGGGTAGGGACCGACCAGCAGGCGCCTGCGGGGCAGACCACCGCCAGGCACGGCAGATGCAGCGCAGGGCGCACGGCACCTACCCTTGGGGCCTTGGGGACACCTGTGCCCTTAGCCTTGACCCCTTCCCCTGGGACTCATCCCCGACGACAACACTGAGCACGGTGAAGCATCAGGACCCGCAGCTCAGGCCCCGTCTGTGTGCAACATTTTTCGAGCCGGATCGATCTGCTATGGTCCTGGGTCCCGAAACTGGGCCAAAATGCTCGGTGTTAGAGAAATGCAACGCCAAGATCTCCGGAAAAGGGCGTCACCACCCGCAGCACGAGGGCTGGCGGCAGAATACGCACCCCGACCTCCCGGCGGCTGGCCCGGAAACACATCGAGAGCTTCGAGGGGGCTGCCCGCGGCCGGCCAACTTCGCGCGAGGGTGCTCCAGCGAGCAAGAAGGCCGCTGCAACAACGCCCGTGCCGCGCGGCCGTGCGCCCGGCCGCGCCCGCGCCCGCCGCCCCTTCGGCAGTCAGGGGGCCGAACGGCGAGGGGCGCGACAGCACCAAGGTGGAGCTGGCCTCCAAGGTACGGGCTGCAGGTGGGAAGGCCAGTGCGAGCCATCTTGCGGGAGGGGGTGGCGCGAAGGGGGCTTCGGATAAGGCAGGGACTTCGTAAAGGGCCAGGAGGCTTCAAATAAGGTTTCTGAAACGCCAGAGCAGGATTTTACGAAAACCTCCTCTGCCTTCTTAGAAGCCCCGCCGTCATCCTAGAAGGTCGCCCCCCTGGCGACGCCAACGAGCTGGGCCAGGAGGGGGCGGAGGACAAGGGGGGGAAGCCAATGGGCCGTGGGCTCTGTGCAGGTCGTGCTCTTGAGCGGCTCGGCAGTGCAAGCGTTGCTGATGCGGAGAGGAGGAGGAAGGCGGAGGAGGACGGAGGAGAGGCGGCGGAGGCTTGGGATGCTGGGAAAGAGAGGGGCGGAGGAGTAAATAGGAGGAGGAAGCGAATGAGGTGGAGGCTCCTACAGAGACTCGCTCAGGAGCGCCCGCCGGTCCACGTCCACCATGGCGACGTACGACTGCTCGCCTCCCGGGCGGCCGCACTCCACCCTCCTCCTCCTCCTCCTCCTCCTCCTCCTTCTCCCTCTCCGTCTCCTTCTCCTTCTCCTTCTCCTTCTCCTCCGGCGCACGCAGTAGAGATCAAGGGAGCGAGGTCCCTCTGTCTCAAAAACATTGGAGAGGGGGGCCCATCGGAGAGAGACCATTTTTGTCACCCTGCCAAGGTTTGATTGGCCCTGGCAGGGGCCAACGACAGCCCCCCCCCCCAAAAAAAAAGTCCGAGCCCGAGGAGATCCTGGCTCGAGCTTGCGCCGAGGAGCCCGCAGATCGCAGGCTCCGCCGCACGGCAGCGAAGACAGGAGCCTCGCTGGCGGCCGCGCTGGCGGTAGGCTGCGGAGCCGTGTCGCCCTCCAGGCGCACGACCTCCGCTTCGCCGCGAAGCAGCCCACACTGGCGCACCGCCTCCTGCCAGGAGCCGCCCAGCTGGTCGCACAGCGAGCGAAGGCTGTTCGCGGTCGCGTGCGTAGCCAACTGGGGCGGCGGCGGGAGAACGGAACGGCACCCTGCGAGGCGGTCTGGCCTCGAGAGATCTCCTGAACTCCTCCTCCGCCCGCTCACGACGTCGGACGACTCGACGACGCCTCCTTCCTCCGCGGCGTCCGCGCTGGCGCCTCTCGCACCAGCGGCGGCTCCCGCTGAAGCGCTGGCTCGAGCGCTGGAGGACGGTCCGCGTCCCAAGAGCGGCGAGAGGCTTGGCCGCTGCTTCCCTCGCTTGGGGCTCCATGCCAAAAGGGGCGAGCCGGCGCCCCGAGCGCCAGGGGCAGCGCCCGCAGCCACGGCAGGCGAGCTGCTCGGGCGAAGGGAAGGCTCCGCCTTCCTACTGCGGCGCTGGCCGCCAGAGGCGACGTCTCCTCCGCCACCCCCACAAACATCGATGTCGAAATGACCCGCTGGAAGCCCCCCAGCAACCACCGCGCGCTTCGCACGACTCAAGGGCAAGTCGGGATCATCATGCAGCGAAACGATGGCCCAGCCTAGCGAGCGCGCCGTGGGGGGCAACTCCGAACAAACTTCCATCTAGAAAGCAATCTCCTCCTAGGAGGTCGGGGCCCCCGTAGAGCCACAATCCTTCAGGGGGTGGCGGGCGAGGCGGAGGAGGAGCAGGCAGCGGCGCAAGCAACCTCTGGAGGAGAAGGCGAACGAAAGGGTTGGCAGCTGCCCTTGTCATAGCCTGCGCACACGCTGGCGGTTCCTGCTCAAACTCTAGCAAATAGCGATGCCCTGAACACCCTAGATGACGGTGCAAAAGGGCCCCTGGGGCGGCGTGACACACTCTACACTCTTGCTCGGCGGATAGACCCAACTGGAACTGCCTACCCTGAGGCTATTGGCCGCCCGAGACAACACTGACTACGTACGCTTTCTCTTGCGTCTTTAGCTTGGCCATGCCAGACTTGATTGGAGCCAGAAAGGGGCCCTGTGCGCACTCGGGAGCCGGAAGGTGGTCCGCGACCTTGCTCCAGAGCCAGCTATCGACTACAGTCACCAGGGCTTTCTGAACCGCGCGTGGACAAAGCGCTTCAACCGAGAAATCGCCCACGCTGGGATAGTGCCAATCGAGACCATTCATCGTGGTACCGAGACGCTTAACAGTAGCGACCGCTGCCGTGAACGGTTCGCGAACTGATTTCCAAGGCGGGCCGTGCTCACGTACGTAACTGACTCCGCGCTCCAGCCAGACCTTGCACCGCCGCTCCCCGAGGAGCCCGCCCGCCCCAGAGAGAGGAGGCGATGGAGAGGAGGGGGGAGACATTGAGGTTGCATGCTGGATGAATGCGTGGCACGCCTGGCAACTGCAGCATTCGGGCGATTGATCTACCCGCAAGCTTCTGCGACTGAGCGCTGGCCTGCTGGAACCTAGCAAGAGTGAGCTCACGTCCGTTACAGCCCATCACCCCGGACCCGTACGAGGTGGAGGCCTGCGCAGCTGCTCGAACCATATGATGCACACGCCTTCTCGCAAGCTTACCAGACAATATTCAGATCTTCTTGTGTCGCACTCGCGACGCATTCATGCGCTCAAGTTTGGTGTGACGCTTGATCACCCCACCAGCCGCCTAATCGATGCCAAGATTGCGCTCGCTCTGCACACTGATCACACGCTTGGCCCGAAGCGCCGTGGCAAGCTCGGCTCTCAACTCAGGAATGAAGCTAGCGCACGTGACGCTGGGTTGTTGATGGGAAGATGCGCAGCGTCTAACGGATCATGCAACATACGCGTGGCTTGGACCAGAGTGTCGCGCACCTGCTCGGAGGAACCAACCTTGCGCAAACCCGAGTCGCCCACCACCACCCCGATCTGCACCTCTCGAGCAGCGCAAAGAGGAAAAGAGGCCTGCGCCGCATCAAGCGGGGCCAATAGCGCAAGCTGAAGCATCAAAGTGGCGAAATGACACCCTGGCAGCACAGCTTCTGCGTGCTGATGGGGGCCGAGGTGGCCCCAGCATGGTCCAGGACCCGCGGGGCCCGATATAGGCCCACCAGCAGCCGCAGCTGACGAAGGGGGAATCCCGTGGCTTGAGCCGCCTTCAGCGGCTCTCCGTGACGAACGTCTTCGAACGCCTTGTGAAGGTCCAAGGGGGCCGTTCCAGCAAAAAGCTCACGCCCTTGGGCCCATTCGGCGAAGGCAGCTTGGACCCAGACGAGCCGCCCCGACCCGCCCCCCCCCCCCCCCCACGAGCCGGCCGCCGGAACTCGCGAAAGTTGCCCATGCCGACGCCTAATGAGTGGGCGGCGAAGCCGCCCCTGCACTCGAGAGGTGACGTGCATGAGCGCAATGGGGCGCAGGCCCCCCGTGCGCTTCAAAATGAAGACTACCTTCGACCGCAACTGTGGCCACGCGAAGCTGCGTTCGATGGCAAGAATGAGCTGCCTGAAGCACTCGAAACCTTCATCGGGCAGCCCCAGCAACTGTCGTGGCGAGATTTGGTCGCGGCCAGCTCCGCTGGCGGCCTTGAAACTACGAAGGCGCGACTTCAGACCCTCCAGAGCGAAGCCTGGCATTTCGAGCCCCATGTCTGCAGGCCGTGCGAGCGGGTCGCTCAAGGACTTCACTTCCCAGCACGCCCCCCACTCGGACACGAGCAGCGCCATCTCCTCCTCCTGACTGGCTGGCGCTGGCGGCAGAGAGCCGCCATGCCTGAAATTGGGGCTGCCGTGCCACGGCGCGGGTGGCTTCGACAACTGAAACCAGGCCCCCCCCCCCCCCCCCCGCGTCGGAGTGGGACTTGACCCAGCTCTTCCAGCTTGCATCTCTATGATGCGCAGCCGCCCGCTGGCGCTTGCCTGACAGCTGTCTGGCGACGCGGCCGAGAGAGGACGAGGGCCCCCACGAGAACGAGGGCGCAACCCGCAACAGCACGACCCACGGCTTGGCGCTGGCATCGCTGAACTTATCACCTCGCGCGGCGAGCTCGTCGACCAGCGAGGGCGTGGCACGACGGTGCGAAGCAGACTGAAACTTGCCAAGCTCGCTAAAAACTTGCGTCGCTCGCCGCCGCCGCGCGGCAAAGGGCGAGAGCCTCGGGTGCGGCATGGCAGAAGGCTTGCGCGCAGCAGCTCGCTGGCGCCTCAGTGGCAGGCGGCCTGGCCCTGCCCACGTAGAGGTGCGACTCGCTGGGGTCTATCTGGTAGATGTCCACGAACTTGCGCTCCATGACGTATACGAAGCTTTCCCACAACTCCTGTGCGCCAACCTCGGCGGGAACCTTTTCTTCGACCGGGTGCCAGATCGTACTTTCCAGCCTGGGTCCCTGAGGCCGCTGCCGAGGAAACATGCGTGGAACGCGAATCTGAGGTAACGTCGGGACTTGCCGCAGCCCCTGGATGCACAACTTGACGGGATAGTGTAGTGTGGTGCCGATCTCGGTGAGCACGCTCAGCTGCTGACGATGCTGAAGGCCTTCAGGCACGATGAAGTAGTCCAGCACAATGCCTGAGCCACCAGTACACGTGGCGATGCTGCGCGAAAGAATATGACCTGAAATGGCTTCCATCCAACCTGAACCCATCAACTCATCAGGACTGACATTCCAATCTCCTGCGAGAGCGTATGGCATGCCAAACTGCTTGACAACTGCTCCAAGCCTGCACAAGAGATCCCAATTCAATGGGGAGTCCCTGCGGGTCGTACGTGTATGCGACTGCCCACAGTATGCCGCCAGGTACCACACCTGACACGCGACGTACTGCAACTCTTGCTTCTTCACGAACTGGAGGCTGGTCGACTAGCAACGACAACCCGTGCCGCTGTTGCACCATATGAAAGAGACCTCCCAATGTGCCCCCTTGCCCTGTCGACTTGGCCACCGTAGCCGAAGCCCTCCAGCCCATGTGACGGAGCCGCTGCTCCCATGCTGACTATTCCAATCAATGGTGTCCCTGTATGCCGACCGCATCTGCCTCAACGACGGCCTGTGAATGTAGAATTGTCTCGAGCCCTGTGCGGCCTGAGACGTTGGAGGTGCTGAAATTCCACGTGTTAGGAAGAAGGCTGCAACGTGCTCCTGCATGGCTGCCAAGGGACTGGTGTAGAGAGAACGGCTGATCTTAGGCTTCCTACCATCGGAACCTGCAGCGTCTGGATCATGTTCCATATCAGCGGCGTCACTGACAGGGATGTTCTGGGCTTTGAGGAAGTCATCGAAGAACTCAGGTTCGCCGTGCTGTTCCCAGAACGCTGCATCTGGAACGCCAGGCACGCCGCTACCAGGAGTCATTTGAGCCTGTGGCTGCTTTTGGGCCTGCTGCTGGCGCTGGCGCTCGGCCTCCGCTGCTGCCCCTGCAGCTGCTTTGGCCTGCTGCTCCTCGAGCTGCACTCTGACCTGATCAACGATGGGCTTGAGCGCCTCTGCTGCGTTGGGCATGGCGGAGGCGAGGGACTGGGCGAGGCTCTCGAGCTGCACGAGAAGGTCCGAGGATTGCGGCGGGCCACCTCCGATGGCAACGTAGGCGGCTGTCGCCTTGCTTGCCGCCTCATCGGCCTTGGCCTTGCACTCGGCCAGGTCGGTAGCACACTGCTGCATATACTCCATGGCTTCGGCCGCCGCAGCCGCAGCTCTGCCATATTTAGATTGCGCATGTTCGAGTTTCTGCTGGATGGCATCAGACGCCTGACGAGCAGCACGAGCAGTAGGAAGAGCATCACCGTTCTGAAGGCTCCGAGCCGCTGCAACTCGAGCCGTGTTCTTGGGTAACAGACCTTGAGCAACAACTGCGTAGTCAGCGCTAAGCATCTTAGCATACACTGCGACGAACTCATCAGACAGGACGAGAGCAGAAGGACCAACACGGGGAGGCCCATCTTTCGACTTGCCTGACGGCCCACGTTGCGGCGAACCTTTGGGCACGTTAGGAGGCTCGGTCCCACAGATACGACACGTGGTGCGCCAAAGGAAATTGCCTTTGTACCCACAACGCTTGTTGGTGCACGTCCAACAATTCCGAGATGCTTTGCCATCCATGTCGTCTCACAATGTACGAGCAAGGTGAGAGCTAGAGTACCGAAGTAATATGCCTGGCACCTGCCAGGGAAAATGGTGGGGCCGCGAATCCCCTTGCCAAAATGTCAAGCCTCTGAGCCTCACGCCTCCGGACTTGAGCCAAAATGGCTAAGGGGCTTCTCCTTCTCCTCCTCCTCCTCCTCCTCCTCCTCCTCCTCCTCCTCCTCTTTCCTCCCTCCTCCTCCTACTCCTCCCTCCTCGTCTCCTCCCTGCCTCTCCTCATCCCCTTTTCCTCGTCCCCTAGCTCTGCAATTGCTCAATCTGAGCGCTGCCCTCCTCTTCACCCGGGTCCTGTGCGAGAGGTGTGAAGCCTCTGTCGCATACTGCCCCTTCTCATAGAGGATATCGGCAGCTGCTTGAGCGCGCGTCATTGTTTCAATTGCGACGCTTTGAGATTGTTTGAAGGCGCCTCGGGACACACACACACACACAGACCCGCGTCCAGGAATTCTCCATATGTTCCATATACCCTGGATATTCGTCCTCCTCTACGCTCCCCATACTTCCCATACTTTTCTATGAACCGACGAATAGGTGTGTCTGTGTGTGCGTTTGCCCCTCCTGACCTTTCACGATGGTGATCCCGCTGCAGCGTTGGCCTCATTCTGGGATCGGCCTCTGCCTCACCTCTGGATCCGATTCAATCCTCGTCGTCGTCGCCCCCCTCCTGTTCCCCTCCTCCGCCTTCCCATGGTCCTCCTGCTCCTCCAATGCTCCTACACCTGCTTCTGCTGATCCACCTCTTCCTCCTCCTCCTCCTCCTCCTTCCTCCTTCCTCCTCCTCCTCCTCCTTCCTCCTCCTCCTCCTCTTCCTCGTCTTCCTCTCCCTGCTCATCTGTCATATCCTCCTCCTCGGCCTCCTCCAATGCACGACGCTCCCCTTGCGGATCGTGCACCTCACGATGGTGCCCTTTTGTGTGATCCAGGTCTACCCGGACACCGGGGCGGCGACCAGGGGCACTTTCAGCGTCCTGGGAAGGGAGGGGTGGCACGGTCAGGGTGTCAGATCTGGCGCGAGGGCACCCCAGCCTGCATTCCCCCGCCTCGTCTCCCTCGTCCAGGGCGCCGCCATGGGCCGCGGCCGAGCCTCGCCTGGGCCGAAGACCCCGGCCCCGACCCTCACCGCGCCGTGACCGAACAAAAAAGCACAGGCGCAGGGCCAGTCCGCCTTTCACCGGGACCCCAGGCAATCAGAAACCCATACCTCCGACGCATTGAACATTTCAGTAAGGAAATTGTTCGCCGTGTTCGGCTTCTGGGAGGCCCTGGGACCGTCCCCACACTGCAAGACAAAAAACACATCGGAACTCGTGGTTTTTACCTGGCCGTCAGAGCACGACTCGAGATGAAGATCCTTTCCAAAAACAGGGGTAGAAGACATCTTCGAGTGCGGTTCACGCGTCGGGGCGGTGGCGAGGACCACCGAAGGCTATGGGACCTAGGCTTTTTGGGCGTTTCTGGTCATGTCCCCAGCCCCCGACGTCGTGACTTGCTCACGCTGTGAACTCCCATGACATGGGATGTTTCGGGATGGCCATCTGCGACAGCCCCCGCACGCCCACTTTGAAGTCAATTTGCATGAACCAAATTTAGATAGTGCCTGAGATCTCACCCAGCCGTGCCGACGCTGGGCCGAAAATTGGAACGATCGGAGTGCTCCACTCGCGCGATGGGCCCGCGGCCCTTTCAGTCGTCAGGCCCACCGTCCATCAAATGGTGAGATCGTGCGCCACAGCTCTCAAATCGAGGGGGGGCGTCTCCGCGGAAAGGGAGTGCGCATGCGTAGGCGTTGGAGCTTCAGCTCCAAATTGCTACTCCTACCCCTCCTCCTCCTCGGACTGTTTCTCTTGTCCTTTTGGCTCCTCCTCCTCCCTCACCGCCGCCCCCCTCCTCCCAATCCTATTTGCCTCCCCGAACCCTCTCCGACCTTCCACTTCATCCCCTCTTTCCCTCTGCAAATGCTCCCATCTCTCCCCCTCCTTCACTGAAGTCGAACTCCTTTGCCTCCTCCTGTCCCTCCTCCTCTTCCTCCTCTGCCGCCCCCTCGTCATCTTTACCCTCCTCCTCCTCCTCCTCCTCCTCGAGAGCGGGGGGCTGTGGAATCGCAGGGGTTCAAAAGCGCGCGCGCGAGGCTTTCGCGCTGAGTTCGCGGCTGCTCCTGTGCAATCTCAGCGCGCTCTGTGTCGTCGTCCTCCTCTTCCTCCTCCTTCTCCTCACTCCTCCCCATTGCCGTGACGTCCCTGGTACCCAACAGCGGGGGGGGCATCAAAGTGGTCGCCGAATGGTCGCCCCTATGGTCGCCCGAGCGGTCGCCAAAAACTGATATGGTAACCCACATGGTCGCCCAAATGGTCGCCACAAATCGATATGGTAACCCATATGGTCGCCAAAATGGTCGCCAAAAAATATCACCCAATGAGGTCGCCAAGATGGTCGCCAGAAAAAGAATCACAATGCCGCATGGCGGAACAACGTGATCGCCCTGATGAAAAGATTCGAAAGCCCGCCGTCGCCTGCGTGTTCGCCCCAACAGACATTACCGTGCCACGTGGCGAATGCTTGTCGCCGCCAGTATGATTCGGAGCAATGCCGTCGCTGGGGATGTTGCCCTCATGTTGGTGTCGTCTCTTCGTGTTGCCGCGCTGGTTACACGGTGTTGTTTGTGGCGTTGGCTCTACGAGTTGTTCGAGCTGTGCCGCGCGAGCCAGTATGGTCGTGGCCGCGGCAGCGGCAGGGGTAATGACATAAAGGTTGGTAGTGACAAAGGGCAGCGGTCGTGAAAGGGGTTGCGGCGATGGTAGCGGTAGTGGCCATAGTATATGGTTTCTGCGGCGGTGGCATTGTGAGCCGCACGAGAGCCCTGGAGTGGAGTCCGTGCTTGGCAGCGGTCATGGACGTGATCCGTGCCGTGGCACTTCCACAGGCCGCGGTGCAACTGGAGCGGGTGGCGTCGCGCCTTGGTGGCGTGAGTTGGCGCATCATTGGTGGCGGTAGGTTTGCTGGTCGTGGCTATGGTTGTTGCGAAGGTGAACGTGGGTGCTCGGGGTTGCGGTTGCGGTGGTGACACTGCGCTCGCAACAGCATTGCCACCAATAGCCGCTAGCAGTAGTGGCTGTGGGCCAACAAACGAAAGGGCAAATGGGGAGGGGGGGGGGGGGCGAAGAGGAGGAAATGGAAGGGGGGGGGAGTCGCCCCTCGCCCCCCTCTTTCTTAGTCGTCCTCCCTGCTCCTTCCCTGTGCATCCTCCCTTCCCCCCCCCTTTTCCTCCTCCTCCCTCCTCGCCCCATGTTCCGCCCTTCTCCCTCCCCCTCCTTCCTCGGCGGCAGCGGCGGGCGGCGGCGGCAGCAGGAAAGACGATCTCATGCTTTCCACGCAATAGGTATGTAGCCACAGGCCGCGGCAACTCGTTTCTGTCACAATGATCAACAATCGCCTGAAAAAAATCAAGTGTGCAATAATCCGCGTCGGTAGCTATTGTTGGGCGTTCGTACTTCTCCCCCGCGCGCATGTATCATGAACGCGCCAGCGCGCGCAATCGCGCGACCAGGCGGGCCATGAGCGAAGCTCGCTCGCCCAGGGCCACGGTCGACAGCGCAGCTCGAGAGTCGGCGCCGCGAGAACGCACAAGCAACATACTCGCATAGCTTAAAGCGCACATCACTGAGCCCGTTTTGCTGTCGCCACCTACGGTGGGTAAATCGGCTTGTCGGGCTCTGCCTTGCGCCTGACGTCAGCCTTCTCCTCAAATATGCGCAGTGAACCCTTCGGGATGAGACTGGTCTCCTTGGAGCTGTGGTTGCCGAGGTGGATCTTGAGGCTCCTCTTGGGCTTCAGCGGGGCGTCGGCGAAGCCCCTGCAGCGCGCGAGCATGGGGCGCTCAGCCTGGGTGACCTTGGCACGAGCAGGCTTGGTAGCGATATCTTCCGCCACAGCGTGGCGGCCCTCGCCCCTGTCGCCGTGGAGATCGCGGCTGTTCTTGGCCGCCGCGAGCTTCGCCGACACCGCGTCAATCGCAGTCTCGAGCGCCGAGGGCCGACAATTCTTGAAGATGCTCTCCTTGGCCTTCCCCAAGTACTGGTCGAGGGCCTTGGCGTCATTGAAGCCGTCGCGCCACAGGCCGTCATCGACGCCCGTGATGAGGGAGTGCGAGAAATGTTGCTCGCTTGCCTGCAAGGCGTCTTCGGCGTGATAGCTGCAATCAAAGGTGGCCACGTCCAAGGCCAACTCTTTCACCTGCGCGTGCCAACGATATAAGAAGCCCAGCTTGATATTTGCACTCGCCTGGGTGGCCCTCCAATCGCGGCCGCCCTGTCGCCGACGCGCGCGACCTTGCCCCTGCCCGCCCCTCCGCAGAGGCCAGCTGTTCGAGTGAACAGGATGGGGGGGGGGGGGGGGGGGGGCGAGAGGAGGCGAGGAAAGCTGGAAGTGGATGGAGAGCGAGGGAGAGCAGGGGGAACAGAAAAGGGAGGGAAGGGGGGAGAGGGGAGGGGGGGGAGGGGAGGGGAGAACGTCGAGAGGGGTGATTGGAAGGTTGCGAAAGGGAAGGGGGAGGCACAGCCGCGCGCATCAGGCATAGGGCAGCCGCAAGATCGGTGCCAGTGGGCCCCAGTCATGGCCGCACTCGCGGCAACGAACTGGCCGAGCTCCGACTTGCCCTTGCTGCTCTGCCGCATGGCCTCCGCCGTGGCTCCGTGCATCTTGAAGCCCTCCAGCGCCACGAGGCCCCACTGGGTGCCGGACAACTCGGTCAGGTATACTTTGAACTGCGCCATCTGCTCTCGCAAGTCCCCCTTCAAAGCGATGAGGTCGAGGCCAAGATCGCGCGCCAACCGAATGTAGTCGAGCACGGCCTGAATCAGATTCATGTCCTCGCCGATCCCCATGGCAATCATCACGTTGGCCATGAACTGGTCGATGCTGTCGGACAGGCCCTCAGGTACCGACTGCGCGCCGGACTCGTTGTACGCCCTGACTTGGGCATGAAGAGATTTGATGTCAGCAGAGCGAGTCCCGCGCTCAACATCGCATTGAAACGCTCGCATGCACTTGATCATCGCGCCGACGTGGCTCCCAATGCTGCTCTCCTGCTGGATGCGCACGACATAACTCGAGAATAAGTCTTGCTTCGGCAGCGCGAAGGACATCTGAGAGGTGATATCCAACAACTCCTTGAGCTCCGCACTCCTCTCGGGCGGGAACCTGCCCTGCTCGATCATATCTGGAAGGCTGCCCGTAATCTGGAGTGCAGCCTGCTCGGCCTGGGATCTGAGCTTGGTGCCCTGGCCCTTCCGGAGCTTACCGTGCGTCTGCTTAATGAGATTCCACGCCTGCATGATCATGGTCAGGTCATCCTGGGAGCTGTGCCCGGTCTTGCTGGACAACTTCTGCCCATGCTCCTCCTGTCGTGGCAAGTAGGTCTCGCAATCCTTGCGAGTGCGAATGAACTCTCCAAGAAGCGCCCTGTAGTGAGAAATCTGCTTCGTGGCCGTCAATACATTGGACATCCCGCCTTGCCCTGTCGACTCTTGCAAGCGGTCGTAGTCTTTCGAGGTGGCATTGTGTTCCTCGAGCTTCACGGTGTCTGTTTCCATCGCAACCAGGACCGCCCGAAGCATGGACATCATCTGGTCGGCGTGGTCCTCGTAGACCTCGAAATCGATATGCTTGCTGTCAGAAGCAGCCGTGATCATGTCCAAGGCCACGTGGACGACTCGCAGCAGCGAGTCATGGGGGGGCGCGCCATCTCTGATTATGGGCGCGAGGATCTTTGATATCAAGCACTCCCGCAACCTCTCCATCTACCTGGAAGGGCCGCCCTCGACGTGCCGAGCGAGGGGTTCTCGGGGTCGAAGCCGCCCACGCTGCCCCCGTCCAAGGGCCGCGGAGAGATCATGTTCAGAAGCTGCGCGGCCTCGTCTTTGATGCTGTGCTGAAGATGCGTCCAATCACGCAATGCTCGGGGCATGCAGCTATGCTTCGCAGACGTAGGAAGGTCGACGTTGTGCTTCTTGAGGTCAGCCGCGAACGGACCAAGCTCCTCGGCCGATGCATTGAGCCAGCCTTGCTCGGTAGAGAACTGCTCGCACTGCTTGTGCAAGTCGTGGTGCTCATTCATCATGGCTGCCTCCTCTCGCCCCATGTTCTCGGCCTCCGTGATGCATCCATTCGGCGTGTTCCTCTCCCTGCCGTGGCCGCCAGGTGCCCTCCCAGCGAGGGCCTTCGGGAAATTGACCTTTGGCAGCTGCAACACCCACTTCGCATTGAAAGGGTCGCTTTTCAGATGCTCTGCGACATCGGGCATCCAACTCCTGAGCGCTCGGGTCCGGCAGGCTGTCCAATGATTTTGTTCCTGACAAGGCCCGGAGCGCCCGGCCGCTCGAGGGGGGCTTCTCTGGGGTCGCAGCGGCAGGCTCGGCCCCAACGGACAGGATGTCAGTTTCTTTCTCGAACTCGTCAGCCCCGAACCTCGCGGAGGCGCCCCGACCATTGTCGAGCTGACTGGAGTCGTCATGCAGACTGAGGGCGCGAAGCTCCGCATTCTCTTCCCCCTGCCTTTGGCGCTCCGCCTCCTTCTTATCTGTCTCCTTCTTCGCAGCCCGAGACAGCAAGGTGCTCATGGAAATGAAAGTGCTGCCGCTGGGGTCGAGCTGACCGTGGAATTTGCCCGTGGCACTCTCGCATGCCAAATCGCACTGCCCATCGTGAATAGTGGAGGCTGGGCGGGCCAAAAGATTCGACAAACTCAACATCTTGGAGAACTCGAATGTGAACGTCCGAGGGGCTCCTTCCAGATCGCTTGTGGGAACGCCCAAGGTGGGCGCGCCGAACTCGTCCCACAGCTTGAAGCACTTATACCCGAGCTGTTCTGGCAGCTATTTCAACTTGTTAAAGATCTCAGGGCGAGATCAGACGCCAAGGGCACGCTGGCAGGAAGCCTTCTGCTCAGAGCGATCCTCGACCTGTTTCGGAGAGAATCTGTCTACCTCGATCTCGTTGTCAACCATGTACTTCGAGGAGTCGTCGAAGGCCTCCCTGAATGATGGATCGTCGCCGTACTTCGTTCCAGCCTCCTCCTCTGTCATGTACGCGTGACCAATGGCCCATGGCTTGTAATGGACTGGGCAGCATATCTTGTTCTCCCTCTTGCCACTCGCAGTCAACGTCTTACCGCGGGCGCCAAGGCAGAAAACCGACCTTGACGAGCAATATTGGCAGCTTTCTCCTGCTGCCCCTTGGCCTCCTGGGCCTTTGACTTCCTCTTCCTCGGGGCTCCACTCACTCCAGTAGTCGCGGTGGTAGCGCCCAGGGTCCTGACCGAGCCAGCGTCGCCATTGTCGTCACCGCCCTCGCATGCAGCCGCACCGCCGAGCTGCCTCTCGACAACCTTGCGGGCGAGCCTCTCCCTGGCCGTCGCCATGGAAGTGCCTCCACTGCGAAGGGCGCCCAGGGAACCCGGTCAGGACCTCACCTGCATCAACGCAGAGCCGAGCCAAAACGGCTGCGTTTTCACGCGTGTTGTTTGCTGTTAGCAGAGTGTCCAACGTGCATGCTATGCTACGCAATGCAATGTCATGGTGAACATTGTGATGCTATGCTATGTGCGCGCCGTATGTTGCATTGCTGCGCGGCGCATTGATTGTGCAATGCTGAGCGAACCAATGCTATGCTATGCCGTGTTATGGCCACGGCACGGCACGGCACAATTGGCGCAAAATGTAAGTGTAATGCAGTTGGTTGCACCATGCACACTGGGGCATCCTGTTTTATCGTAGCACCATTTCTATACTCTAGACAATTCGCCTGGGCGTCGTTTTTCTGGAAGGGCTGGGGCTGACGGGGATGCGCGAAGGGCAAAGAATCACCGACGGCAGCGCCCAGCGCATTTAAGACGTGTTTCAGACTGGTTGACGCATGTTCGAGGTGTGCGCTTGGACGTGTTAAGGCCTTGTTGGTACTTGTGTAGGACTGGCTTGGGGCCTGTCTGGGGCTTGCTTGGCACGTATTTGAGGTTTGCGTCGTTCTTGTTGGAGACTTGTGTATGGTTTGTTGCAGACATGCTTGGGGCTTGTGCTGGTACTTGTTCGAAACTTGCTTTGTTCCAGCTCCTCGGCTACCCCCTCCGTTTTGCCACGCCCCCCTTTCGATCGCGTTGGTTTCATGCGCCTCCTCCCCCCCTCTTAACTTCTGTGTGCGTGTGTGTGTGCGTGTGCGTGTGTGTGTGTGCGTGTGTGCGTGTGTGTGTGTGTGTGGGTGTGTGCGTGTGTGCGTGTGTGCGTGTGTGCGTGTGTGCGTGTGCGTGTGTGCGTGTGTGTGTGTGTGCGTGTGTGTGTGTGTGTGTGTGTGTGGGGTGGGGGGGGGGGGGGGGGGGGGGCTCTGGGCTGCGCCACTTCCTCTTCCTCTGTCCCCCATCGGGGCGCGACGCGGCGCTGGCGGGGTGGGCGGCGCCCCCTGCCGCCCTCCGAGGATGCTCGGCTCGCCGACCTCCAGGGGCGCTCGACCCTGCCTTCCAGGGAAGCAAGCACCCCTTGCCGCCGCCCAGGGACGCTCGACTCACGGACGAGGGGGAGGGCGAGGATGGCGAGCAGGATGATGGAGGGAGCGGGGATGGAGGGCGCGAGGGCGAGGAGTGCGCGGAAGGGGGGTGCGAGGGCAAGGAGAGTGAGGATAAGGAGGGCGAGGCATATGTTTGGCCGTTGGCTTGGGCTAGATCAATACTCGTAACATCGAGGGCCCGACGAGGGACGGACAAGAAACGAAACGAGGGCCAAGAGGGGCCGAACGGCGGAGGGACAACGACCGAACAGGAATCCGAGGCCCGAAGCATAGAGGGGGCACCCAAGCAAGAGCGAATGCTGGTGACGATGATTGTGGTGGCGGTAATGATGACGACGATGATTCGGATGACACTGATGCCGGGGATGCATATGACGAGGGTGGCTATGATAGACATGATGGTAACGATGTTGATACAAACAGTGGTGATGGCCCTGGTGATGCTGAGAAAGATGATCTTAATGACGATGCTATGGTTACGATCGCTATGGCGATGACGATGGTGATGGTGACGATGGTGATCATGACTAAGACAGTGGTGTAGAAATCGAGGCCGATGTCTGCAACGAGAACGGTTCGCAGTGTGATGATGATGCTGATGATGTTGTTGATGCGGATATTGATGGTGGTTGCGCTGCAGAGCAGGGTGGCAGCTATACAAATATGATAACAACTACGGCACTGGAGATTGCAAGGGTAACGGTATTGATGGTGGTATGGATGTTGATGACCAGGACGGCGGTGATCGTGATAACGGGTAGAACGGTGGCGGTCACGAGAAGGAGGAGGGGGCCTAGGTCGATGATGGCGATGTTGGTTGTAATGATGATGTTGGTATCTTGGATGCTGGTGGTGGCGTTCATGGCGATGATGACGGCGATGGCGAGGATGACGCCTTGTCGGCCCCAGTATCGAGAGGCACCGCCAACGAGGTGTCATCCGGACCGCCTCGGACCGAGGAGAGGAACAGGGCTACCGATGAGCAGCGCTACTCGCACTGCAGCTACCGAGGAGCAGCGCCACTCGCACCGAGCTGTCGAGAAACTCGCAGAGCAGAGCAGCGCCACTCGCACAGAGCGGCCGAGAAACTCGCGCCGAGCTGCGAAGAAACTCGCCGAGGAGCTAGCCAATAGTGTCCGTGTCCGTCGAGGTATCGTCTTCCATCCTCTGGGCGATCGTCTCGGTCCACTTGTTGCTCTCATTCTTGTCCTTCAATGCCTGCTCGCTCTCGAGCTTGACGCGGTTCATCCGCGCCTTCAGGGCCCCCATGCGGTAGCCCAGCCTCTTGATGATCATGGTTTTGATCTTGATCGTCATCAGAAGGCGCATCGCACGCAACCTCGTAGTCGGCGAAGAGCGGCGCGCCAACTGCGCCTGTGAAGGCGTCGTCAACCACGACTGCTTTTTGGGCGCCATCGCTGCTGGTCGCGCTGCAGACAGGGTCGCGAAGTCCAAGGCAAAACAAAACCGTCCGTCAAACGGCCCAGGTCTCGAGACGCAAACGATTACGGACCGTGTTGTTGTTCAGTCGTTGTGCCATGTTTGTAGTTGTGCTGCCCCCAACGTCACCCGTGCTTGTTTTGTGCGTGTTTGGATATATGGTGTGTGAACGTCTGCATTGTCCAGTCGTTCGTCCCCCTGTGTTGTTGTCTTGCAAGGGTGCCTACATGATTTCGCGCCAATCATGTATGTTACGTGTGACAGCGCTTCCGATTGTATGTGTTGTTTGGGGGGGCCTCTTATTCAACTCATTAGTTACCCTCTCACACATAGTGATACGCGCAATGGACGCGCCTCGCCATATTCCCCAGCACAAAAGAAACCCGCTGACTAGGATTCGATGAGCGCGAACAAGATACACACGCAACGTAGATGTGCGCGTGGAACAGACGAATGAGTTACGCATCGAGGGGTGCGCGGTTTTGCGGAAAACCCAAAAAGGGAATATGCTGAAAAAAGAGCGCACGGAGACACCACCGAAATTCAATGCAAGGCGCGTGTTGTTCTGGGGCCCTGAAGCAACTTGTTGTGAGCATCCGCAATAACAAGCGCTCGCGAACCTTACATATGCATGTCGAGGGGCCTTCCAAAGACCCTCTAGGAATTCTTAGGTTGCCATCCAGGAACCCTTGTGGCTTCTTAAGAGCGGTCTGGAAGCCCTTCGGGGCTTCGTACAACACCCTCCAGACACCTATGGGTGCAGAGTCTTGATGGGACTCACCAAGGATATGGTAGAACTTCTTCATGGGGCCCACCATGGTACTTTACGGCCTGCCAGGACTGCCCCAGATACCCCAAGGGCCCGTGAGAGGACGCCCGATACCCTTCAGGGTCGCGAGCGGGCCTTACAGGTATGTTGAAAAGCATTCAGACTAATCGCCAGGCAACTTGCGGATGGCACCTCAATGTGGCCCTCGGGAGACCCTGCAGGACATTATGCGGGCCCCTTTGGAAACCTGATAAGGACCTAGTTGCTCTCCAGAAGCCTTCAAGGTATTCTGGGCAAGATGACCAAGAGACTTTCTAAGGGGGTCTACAGGTGCCCCTGAAAGTCCATTCTGAGGATCCGATGGCCCTTAGCTGACCCCTCGGAGACCCTGTAACGATTGCCGACATTCGCCTGGCAAAGGGCCCAACGATTTGCAGGCGGGAGCACCGTTGTTGACAATGACGCATTCGGTGGATCTCCCTGCGGGGCCGCGAAACGTTCGCTGGGGGGGGGGGCGCGTGCGCGCGCCGCCGCGGGGGCCTCAGGTGGAGCCCCCTGCGATGGGGCTACGAAGCGCTGTGCCGGGCGGGGGAAACGCATTCGAACGCCGCCTCTGGGGCCTTAGGCGGGGCCCCCTACGGGGCCGCGAAACGCTGTGCTGGGCGGGGGAGACGCGTGCAAACGCCGCCGCTGGGGTCTTAAGTGGGGCTCTCGATGGGGCCGCGAAACGTTGTGCTGGGCGGGTGGGGCGCATGCGAACAGCGCCACTGGGGCTAAAGGTGGGCACCCCCTATGGGGCCGCGAAAGGCCGCGCGGGGCGGCGGCGGTGGTGGGGGGGGCGGGGGAGGGGGGCGCATGCGAACGCAGCCGCTGGGGCCTTAGGTAGAGCCCCTTACGTGCCCACGGAACACTGCGCTGAGTCGGGGGGGGCGCGTGCGAACGTCGCCACTTGGGCCCCGGGTGGAGCTCAGCACGGGGGCGCGAAGCGATGCTCTGAGCGGGGGGGGGGGGCGTGCGAACGCCGCCGAGGCGAAGGGCGGAACTCCCGATGGGGCCACGAAGCGCTCGCTGGGCGGG